CCTGTCTTTTGTTTGGCTGGAAACCACGGGTGTGGGTTCAATTCTAGACCTGAAGGGCAGCTAGGGGCCATAGTCTCAGCAGTTCCACCAGGCTCTATCAGACCAGCAAACCTGGTCCCCACCCCCCTTTTTTTTTTCTCCAAATAATTTTGAGTTTTGTTCCACATTGTTCTCCTTCTCTATCAAGGATCTCCTACATAGATCCCCTTCCAAGTGGATGACAGTGGTAGGGTCTGGCCTTTCTTAAGAATTTGAATTTTGTTCTGTTTTTCTCCCCGTCTATCCAGGACCTTCTGTTTTGTCCCTGGTCAAAACGGTCGATAGTCATAGCTGGGCACCATTTATTTCTTCTGGTCTCACATTAGACAAGGCTGTAGTTTGTGTGGCCTGTTAGTCTCCTCTTTGAGTCTTTGATTTCCTTCATTTTCTTTTGTTCCACATGAGTAGAGACCAACAGTTGTATCATAGATGGCTGCTCACTAGGTTTTAAAACCCCAGAAGCTACTCATCAAACACTACCTTTATGAACTATGTTATGCCAGTTGATTAAGTTATCTCACAAGACCATGGCCCTGAGTCTTTTAACCCTGTACATCAATCTCGTAAATTGTTTGGATTGTTTGGATATGTCTAGGAAGCCTGGTAACTGTGTCCCCTATGTGCTTCATTGTGTATATGGCTACATGTGCAGCACTCACAAACATGTACATGTTGTTGTTGTTGTTATGTGCCGTCGAGTCAAACCCGACTCATAGCGACTCCTCCTTGGGTTTCCGAGGCAGTGTCACTACAGAAGTAGGATTGCCCAACCTTCCTTCCTAGGAGTGGCTGGTGGGTTTGAACCGCCAGCCGTCTGGTTAGCAGGCAAGTGTCTTAGCCATTATGCTACCAGAGCTCCCATGTACATAGATATGCTTATAGATAGACCTGTATATGCAAGTGCATGTACTCACATATACCTTCCTGTACATATGAATGCAGACATGTCTACCTGTGTAATCAATCACATATTTTTGCTTGTTTTTACAAAATTGTATAAGTAATAGTGTTTACCAAAATTGTCCCTTTTCTTGTAGACTTCTTAGTATCTGCATTTACCTTGGTCAAGCTGTGCCGACTTCAAACATATTTGATATTGCCTTTGCTATAACCAAAAATAACAAATGTCTGTTATCTAATAAGTGATTCTCCCTTCCTCCCTCTCCCATCCTTCATATCCATCAAAGAGTATTGCTTTCTGTGTGTATATCTATTCTCCACTTTTTATAATAGTGGGCCTATACAATATATATATATATATATTTGTAATTGGCTTATTTCACCCAGCATAACATCCTCTAGATTCATCTGTGTTCTGAGATGTTTTGTGAACTCCTCATTATTGTTCAGAGTTGCATACTATTCTATTGTATGTTGTTGTTAGGTGCACTTGAGCTGGCTCCAAATCATAGCAACCGTTATGTAAAACCGGACAAAACACTGCCCCATCCTGTGCCAGCCTCACTATCCTTGCTATACCTGAGCCCATCATTGCAGCCACTGTATCAATCCATCTCATTGAGGGCCTTCTCCTTTTTTGCTGACCCTCCACTTTACCAAGCATGATATCCTTCTCCAGGGAATGGTCCCCTCTGACAACATGACCAAAGTAGGTGAGATGAAGTCTGGCCAGTCTTGCTTCCAAGGAGCATTCTGGCTACACTTTTTCCAGGACAGATCTGTTAGTTCTTCTGTCAGTCCATGGTACCTTCAGCATTCTTCACCAACACCACAACTCAAAAGCATTGACTCTTCTTCAGTCTTCTTTATCCATTGTCCAGCTTTCATATGCATAGGAGGCAACTGAAAATTCCATGGCTTGGGTTGGGTGCATCTTAGTCTTCAAAGAGACATCTTTGCTCTTCAGCACTTGGAAGAGGTCTTCTGCAGCAGATTTTTCTAGTGCAATAAGTCATCTGATATCTTGACTGCTGCTTCTATAGGTGTTGATTGTGGAAACAAGTAATATGAAATCCTTGACAACTTCAATCTTTTCTCCATTTACCGTGATGCTGCTTATCGGTCCAGTTGTGAAGATTTTTGTTTTCTTTATGTTGAGGTGTAATCCATACTGCAGACTATAGTTTTTAATTGTCATCAGTAAGCACTTCAAGCTATCCTCACTTTCAGCAAGCAAAGTTGTCATCCGCATATCGCATATTGTATGTAGGTACCACAATTTTTTTATCCACTCTTCCATTGATGGGCATTTAGGTTGTTTCCATCTTTTTGCTATTGTGAATAATTCTACAATGAGAATATGCCTTTATGAGGCTCTGTGCATTGTGACTACATGCATATAAGTTCGTAATAGTTATATTACCATGTATTGAATGCCTGTCCCATCCTAGTTGTGCATATTATCTCAATTAGTCCTCACTCCAATCTGATGAGTAGATATTGTACTTAACCATTTTACAGATAAGAAAACTGAGATTCATAAAATGCAAGCAACCTTTCCCCAGTCACTCTACAACATTGTGGTGTACAGGAGCTAGGGATGGAGGGGAACTTGTTTTGTGAATATTTTTTGAATTGTCTTCCCCTAGGCCACCGAATGTTGAAGATTTGTCCCTGAACATCTTACTTGCAGAGAGATAACGTCCAGAGGGAGCATGTCTACAGATCAACCACTTAGCAGTAGCAAAGCATTTTGGGGCCCTAGTAGGTTTGGTAGCATAGTGCCTAATGCATTTGACTGCTAACCAGAAGGCTGGCGGTTCAAACCCACCAGCCACTCCTTAGAAGGAAGGTAGGGCAATCTACTTCTGTAGTGATACCACCTCAGAAACCCAAGGAGGGATCACTGTGAGTCGGGTCTGACTTGACGGCATACAACAGCAACAACTGTAGGTTTTACTTTCTCAAGGGTTTCTCACATTTAATGGAAAAAGAAACTAAAAGCTGATGTTTCCCCAAGACACAGCAGATTAAGCAAGGGGCAGAAATTGCGATAAAGTAAATCAGAAATTACATCTGTGTGAGAGCTGGGAAATCCACATTCTCAGGCACGGTGACAGTGCCAACTGGTGCAACCTCTTTGATAATGTCTTTCACAATTTTCAAAGCTCCCGCCCCTTGACCCAAAAAGTCTACTTTCAAGAATGCTCTTGAACATGTGAGCAAAAACACTGACACGAGAATTTAATGTAGAAACAAAAGAGTCAAGTGCCTAGCAATAGGGCCCTGGTTAAAGAAAGATGATTTATCTATACAGTGGAACACTAGGGAGGCTGTTACAAGAAGCAGGGACAGCAGCGTGTGTGGATCATTTGTCTTTAACAGGTCCCTGACTGTAAAACCAAACCCACTGCCATCAAGTTGATTCTGACACATTGCAACCCTTTTGGACAGAGTAGAACTGTCCGGTAGGATATCCAAGGCTGTAAATCTTCATGGGAGCAGACTGCCTCATGTTTCTTCTGTGGAGTGGCTGCTGGGTGCAAACACCAACCTTTCAGTTAACAGCCAAGCACTTAACCACTTCACTACCAGGGCTTCTAAAAGGTCCCCAAACAAAACAAAACAAAACACAAACACAGGGTGGGCTGCTAACCTAAGAGCTGGCTCCAGCGGTTCCACAGAAGACTTGGCCAACTGCTTCCGTAAAGATTACAGCCAAGAGAATCCTGTGGAGGGGTCGCTATGAATGTGGTTATGAGTGAGACTGAGTCCACAGCACTAACAAAAACAAGTGGGTGCCAGAAATACAGTTCTGGCTGTTCATTTATCCATTCATTCACTGTCCTGCTATGCCTGTACAAAGCCACTACTGTTCCAGGCAGCAGGCATAGGTTACTGTGGCTACAACGTAAAGTGCAAGATTACACTGGGAGCCGGCTGAGGATACATTTACTGCCTGGAGATGGACAGCCTGGGTCTGTCTGCTTCGCATACTGAACGTGAGAACGGGTGAAAAGTCGTGGAAGTCCTTTAAGTCTTGTAAACTCTTATTGGCCCAGCCAGCCAGGGCCCTTTGAAGGAGGGGATTGGGGTGGGAGGGGAGGCCAAGAAAGGCAAGTGAAAGACCCAGCGGCGGCGGCGCAGTTTCAGAGCCCAGCTAGCTCTCTGCTGTCTTCCTGCCCAGCCTGGGGCTGGCCCTCCGCTGCCTTTACCCCACCGACCCCGCGTCAGGCTCCATGGCCCCGGAGAGCTCCTCCAGGAGGCACCGGCGGATGCGCTGCTGTGTCCTACTCGGTGTCAGCGCCCTGGTCCTGGGGACCGTCGCTTTAATGGTCGGAGTCCTGTGGTGGCGCCAGTCATCCAAGCCCTTGGAGCCGTTGCAGTGGCGGGGGCCGGGCACCACGGCCCACATTTCTGAGATCGTCCTGGGCCGGTGCTTCAGCTACATGCAGGAGGTCCAGTCCGAGCTCCGGTGAGTGGGTCGCGCGGCTGGACATCTCGCGCGGCTGCCGACAGCTGGACACAGCTGGGCACTTTGCACGGGACAGCTGGCTGCACGGCCTGGAACAAAGCACGGGCTGTTCGGGGTCAGCTGAGAGCCAGATGGGGGCTCGCGATTCCGCGCACCACTTGCAAAGAGAGGCTGGCGTTGGCACCTAGCGCGCCCTCAGAGAGGCGCTGCTCGCCGGCCAGGTCAGCTCAGCAGGTGGCCACATGGCAGAGGCGTTTGGCGCGCCCCCTGGGTCAGGCGCCCGGAGCCAGGCCACGTCGCGGGCGCAGCCAGCCCTCGGCTCGCCCAGCCTCGAGGTGCGGACAGAAGGTCACCGGAAGGTGCTGAGGTGTGCCCGGCATGTGTTGCTTTGTTTGGGGTTTCCGTTTGTGCACTCTGATGCGAAAGCGCCCTGTGTTGCAGATCACACCTGGTTTAGTGGTTTCAGCAGCCTGAGGAGGGGGAGGGAGGGAACAGAGGGCATGGTCGCTGAGATAAGTGTTATTTACTAGCGTAAAACAGCTCTCTGAGTCTTCTTGAGTGCTTTGGAATGCGTGGGACCCGAGAACTCATCAAAAACAAACAAAAAACTTTAAATATAATGTTCACATCTCTGTAAAACTAACACCAGTCTCCCTCACATCTCTATAGACAGAAAAACCACCAGATAGATTTGGGGAACTTTTCCAGACGTTTCTTGGTGCTCCATCCAGCTGCTAATCTTATCCCCTCCCCCCAAAAAAAAGCTGCCATAGGTTCTATTCAAACTTATGGCGACCCCATGTGTTCCAGAGTCAAACTGCCGTCCATAGGGGTTTCTTGGCTGGACTAGTAGCCAAAAGATTGGCCATTGGAATCCACTCGGCAGCTCCTGGAAAAACAGCTGGCTATCAGCTTCAGACAGGTCCCAGCCTGGAAAAGCCCACTGACTAATTCTACTGTGCACACGTGAGTGGACTCCCAGCGGAGTCCGGTGCGACAAATAACAGCCTTTACGGAAGCAGGTTGTCAGGCCTTTCTTCCACGCCTCTGAGTGGGTTCAGACCACCAACCTTTCGTTTAGTCGCAGAGGGTAAACCGTTGGTGCCTGCCATCCAGGGATCTTGCTGGCCCAAAGGGAATCGCTACTTTTTTTCTCTTTCCAGGAATCGGTTTGGCCTCATTTTGAAGTTGTTTGGAAGGCAGAAGGAGCTGGAAGCTAGAAAGTCAAGAGCTACTTCTCAGGCTGCGGAAGGGTGGGGGTGGGGAGCAGCAAATTCACAGCCTGTATGTGAAGTGAGTTTGGTTTTGGTGTTTGAGGTGGCGGATTGCACCTCCAACACACCCCAAACCCAGCAGATAAGCAATGTCCCTGACTCCTGACTCCCACTCCAGTGTAGGACACAGTGGTGGCCTCAGCTCTAATGCAGAGCCCTGAGGTTTTCCTTGCAGATGGCTCAGGATAAGATCCAGAGATCCCTTTAAGTGCGTTGTTTATGGACAATTAAACACTTCATGGAAAGAGAAATTAGACATTGAGTCTTCCTTCACACTCCAGTATAAATTATTAAATAAATCAAGAGACATCCAATTTGAAATGATAATGATAAAAAGCCGTCCTATTTTTATTTTCACCTCAATTTAACTTCTTTAAAAATTTCAGTTCAGTCATTTTTGGTAAGTTCCACAAGTGGCTAGATTTGCATATTTGGCACAGCAAACAGGAGGCACCATGCACAATACAAGCCATTGAGTTGGTTCCCACTAAGAGTGGAACTGCCCCGTGGGGTTTCTAAGGCTGTAATCATTACGGAAGCAGACTTTCTTTCTCCTGAGAGAAAGCAGACTGTCTTTCTCCTGAGGAGTGACTGGTAGATTTGAACCACCAGCCTTTGGTTAGCAGTCAAGTGCTTAACCCCTGCACCACTAGGGTTT